GGAGCCCACGGTGACCCTCCTGGGCGGCAGGAGGCCCCCAGGCTCCGGCATGGGGTGCAGGGCCTCCGCGCGGGGACATGGACGCGAGCGTGCGCGGCGGGGGGAAACCAGCCAGAGGATGAACTCCTGTGGGCTTGCAGGGCTGAGAGGAGCCTCCGCGCTCAGGAGAGGTGTCTGCGCGCCCAGGGCTGGATTGCGTGTTTGTTGAAGCCAAAAAAAGCCCGGAGATGTAAGACAACGGGGGCTCGGTGTCCTGGGATCTTCCACAAGAACAAGAAAGTCATCACCCAAAAGACAGCTCCAAACCCACAGGTCTCCAAAGTGGGCTGTGGCTGGCCACTGAGGAGACAAAAGAGCTCATTTTTCCCCAGAAAACCATTTTGGGGAATTTGCAGCTGGTGGCCAGGAATGAGCAATTAAATGTACCAGGCCCAGACAGATAGAGCTGCTAACTTCACCCAAGGGGGCAGCGGAGGACTCAGAAAGGCGGCTACGATTTTTTCACGATGCACACAGGAGGGCTTTCGTGCAGCCCAAGAATGGAGAAGAGGAACCATAGAATTGCAGAAACCCTCTGCACAAGGAATCGTTCAAGCAAAGGCAGCAAAAGCAGTGCAGCACTCTGCCTGAGATGCCGAGAGCCGGAAAATGGGCTGCAGTCGATGTAATGACCGAAAGGAGACTTTCCCTTCAGCCCCCCAGCAGCAGAACGCCAGAGTACGTGGGCCAGGCAGCTCCTGCCCCAGCTCTCCTTGCCTTGATGGGGGCTTTCTGCATTGCTGCATTGATGAAAAACTGGGAATTGCATCTTCTAGCTGCAAGGTTTTGTTGCCTTTCTGAATTGCCTTCTGAAATCCAACAAAGGCAGAGAACTCCCTGGGGAAGAAAAAATGCCTGATGGATCTTTCCAAATGCCTGGTGGTCTCTGCTCGCTGATGGGGAGCATATGTATTTTGGCATAGGTGCAGCCCCCAGCCGCCTAAGGAGCAAGTGATCACAGAATCATAGAATTGTTGAGGTTGGAGAAGCCCTTTAACCTCCCCCAGCCCAACCGCTTG